CACCCCAAAAAACGGTTAGGGGCCGTTTGGAGATGGCCTCCTGCCGTCCATCGCGAAATGTCGGTTGGATTGCGCCCAGTTTTCGCGTAGTGCGTTTTCAGACCCCTGTCTCACATATCTCTCTAAGCGGACAAAAAGGGGGCGGCGTATTCGCGTTGGGGCGCAAAAACCGGGGCCGCAAGTCCGTCAAGCTGTTGAGATTTGTGCTGCAATTCCGTATTTCCTCCTATACCTTAAGTTAAGGGGAAAATATTCCCCCTCCATTGACACACCTTGACCTTTGACCCTTGACCCCCAAATTCGACATCCCGAGTCCTTTTCGCGATCCACCCCGACGTCCCGAATATCAAGACCGTACGTCAAGCGGTTAAGATTTGTGCCCAACTGTTGACGGACGCACGGACGCACAGACAATCATGTGATTCTACAAGCTGCATCTGACTTCGTCAGCTGAGCTAACACATCTGAGCAATCAACAATTAGTGTATCAGCGAGTAAATGGTCGAACAGTCTAGAGCTAACATCCAGACATACTGAATTGACGCTGGATGGCATTCATCGATGACAGAAACTTACTCCATATCGATGCAGAGAAGACATATGTGTGTCCCAGTATGACCCAGGACATGCTGAGGAAGCGCACACCATGCACAGAATCAAGCGCACCATGGCTGCGGTGCGTTGCCAGCAGTTTGCGACTGTTGCTGAGTGCAGAGAAGCTGAGCAAAATGCTGGCACATAATCCTGAAACGAATTCGTAATTTCAGCATTTGTCTGCAATAAGTCATCGATTGTAAACTAACAGGCATATATGTCAAACACCACCTAGCAGAATTCCATGACCATCTACACCTGGAGGGAACACAATAAAGGCATTAACCTGTAATGTATTTCTTACTCCTTTCATTTTTAAGGGTTTACTACACAATAGCAGTGGCTACTGAGTTACCGTAAACAAGAAAAACTAATTATACAAACAGAACAGTACACATATGCATTCAAACTACATAGGTAATAACTGCAATGACAATGACTACACATGAAATGATCATCTTTTTGAATAGTATATATTGGCATGGCATTCGCATAACAATCATGTGAAATACCTCACTGATACAAATTCATGCACGAAAAATAATTTTAAACAACCTGAGCAATTACTGAAATACTTCATGCCATGCTATATTGCAAGAGAGTAATAATGTTAACACTAACTATCCAGCTACTTAAACAACTGTAGGCCCTACATACACATACATGTTTTAGATAGGAAATAGTACCTGAACTATTACATTGGTTACTCTGCTGTCCTTCTTCCCTATGTATGCTCTGGTTCTGATCGTGTGTGTTTTCAGTCGTCATTGGGCTATACTCATTGTGGCCATCTTGGACGGTTGTCGCAATCCTAAAATGTTTATTATGCATACATTAATCTTCTACCATAGCATTCTTCTACCATAGCATTATTTTGCTTAAGACTAACTGTTAAATCAAATGTAAATGGTCATATTAAAGAGTGGATTAATTGGCTATGGAGCACATTACACTTGGTACATTTTGCGAAATATATTGCCTCTTATACCCCGTACAGACTACGAATTTGATATGGTACTAAACTAGCCCGCATTAGATGCGCGCTAAAAATTGCAGTGTGTACACGCTATCCCGCTCCAAATACGGAATACGCGCTGGCCTGCTCCAAGTTGGCCCTGCTTATGAAGCAGGGCTATCTTGGTGCGCACCAAGTTATCCCACTCTAACTCTGTGTCTGTACGCAATTGGTGCCTAACTCGCGCTAAGTTTCGCAATGCGCATGCGCATAGCCTGATTTAGGTCACGTACGCTCGCTCGCACGCACGCTCGCTCACTGTACCTCGCTGTCTGCGGGGTGACGTGGCGAGCAAGGAACTGAGCGGTGGGAGAACTGATGACTCATTTAGCCCGCTTCAGAGTATTGTGTCTGTACGCTCCTAGTTAGCGCGCGCTAATATTCATAGTCTGTACGGGGTATTAGTCTCTTACTTAGCACCAGCATGGTACCCTGACTTCTGCATTTGTATGGCAATGTCATAACCAGTTCCTGCCAGCAGCATCATAACGAACACAGCTATGATGACTCTGAAATGCACATTAACAGCAAATACATACAACACAACCATGATGACAACAGCTAAAATATTATCTACATTCTACTGTTGTTGGTATCATTTATTATTATGCATCTAGAGGACACTGTAACTACAAGCTAGTACACATGATACTTCCAGTATTTGCTGCATGTTTCAGAATATATAATACAGAGAACTGATAAACAAAAGTAAAATTACATGGCTGTGACTGTTCGCCAGTCAAATGGTGCCGGCTGAGGGCAATTATGTGCAATAACATCTATTTGTGGTACCAGTGCCAGTGCTGAAACATTAGAAAACAGCGTGCAGACTTATCCGCACAAACAATGCCATGCAAGGTCAACATCATGATGATGCATGCGTAGAACCACATGTACAAGAACAGGTATACAAGCATGAGAGGTCTGATAAAATCAGACTTCTTATAAGACGTGGGTTTTACTAATGCAGGGGAGAATACAATCATGGAACTCCTATGTTGTGTTTTAGCACAAAAACGGACCATGACTCTTTGCTAAATAATGTGAATATATAATAAGCTAATGTGGAGATTTCAGGGGGGAGTGAAGAGTTGTGGAGATTTCAGGGGGGATGACGTCATACAACCAGAGACCAGCCACCGCAACAGAGGTAGAGAGTTTTCCTGGGGGAGGGGGGTCCCATAGCAGCCGATGTGGGAGGTCAGGGAGTTGCACCCTCATGTACACACGCCGAGCGAGAGGGTGGCGCCAGCCAATGTGGGAGGTCAGGGAGTTGCGCCCTCACGTACACGCGCCGGCGAGAGAGCGGCGCCAGCCGAGCACGTGGCAGACAAGGGGGTACGACGCTCGGGCGTATACTGGACGAAGGGGGTTGCATCACCCATACACGTGTTAAGCGAGGTGGGTGACAACGGCCAGGCACCCGAAGCACGAGACAGGGAGGCGCCGCCTGGATCCTACGTCACCGCAGGCTCCTATATAAGCAGCCAAGATCCAATGGTAAAATCAGTCGGTCTTCGGACGGCCACGAACGCACGAGTCAACGAGTCAGTCTTCGGACGGCCACGAATGAACGAACGAGCGAACGAACGAACAAACAAACGAACGAACAAACAAATGAACGAACGAACGAACGAACGATCACGCTCGAGCCAGAGCGCACACACACCGTCAGGGGGAGAGCCTCGCACAATCAGGACAACGCCCGAGAAGGTATATCCTATACTAAGGGAGGGGCGCGGAGCTATAGCCTACACACGACGGGGAGACACACTGCCAACCCACGAACTCGCGCCGAGCCGCGGAGCACACGACTGGGAGAGACAGAGACGGCTACAATATTAACCCATAGAATAGCTAAGAGAAGTTAAACGTGTAATCACCTAACGAGGTAACGTAAACGTGACACGAGCAATATATATTATATATATATCTATACGCTATATTTGAGATTCGTGCAGTGAACGTTATTTCTGTTATTCGTATGTGATGAATAAAACCATCAGTTGTATAAAGACTATCTAAGGACTTGCGTTCATTTCACTCTGGGTTTTCCTGCTACTGCATCACCGTCCTACCTTCGCGGTAGGAGCAAAAAATGATCCCAACACAAATAAATTACACGTGCTAACCACAGCACGTGTGAAAGTCCAGTGTGGCCACCCCTAGGGCCACTACACTAATTAGCTAGTCCTATAGCAAATAAGAGAGAAATTCTACATGAGAAATTTAACCAATAAAAAGAACCCATACTACCATTTCCATGAACTCTACTACAATTCTGTGTGTATGTAGGTAACACAGGAAGTTATTAAAATCAGTGGATCAACATGTTCGATAAATAATAGGCTGGGGTTAGTTCAATTCTATATATTTTAAAGTGAAGAAAATTTATCATTTACCACTAGAAACAAGTTGCAGAACATCCTCTTGGCTGCATGTGCTAGGTACACATAGACCTTCTACCAAACTTGATCCAGCTGGCATTGAAATCTAGAAATAGAAACTTGTCCGTACAAACTGGAAATGATCATTTAACGGCAATAATTACGAAACAATATAAGCAGTCTAAATCTCTGTGTCATCCTTTTGATACATTGAGAGATTCAGTCTACTTTCATTCTTGTTTTCTGGATAAGAAATACTAACAAAACAAATTTGTTCTCTATTAAAAAATAAGAAAGCTGATCAATTGTGTTAAAACTAATGACTGAGGAAATGCTTAATCAGAGCATCAGATGTTTTATAGATTTTGAATAGATGATGCCTTAAAAATGTAATAGCATATAAAGGGCTAAGACACATACCCACCCTGTATTTTACCAGGCTGTGTATATAACTAGCAGATGCATTACTCAGGGGGTGATATACCTATAAGAATTTTTTTAATCAAATTCCGATTCAAACATGTGTAACATTTTCATCATTGCAAACAACACTGTGTCATCTTGACAGATCATGCACTTACAGAAGAGGAATTTTTGGCCTGTAGTGTCACAGTACAGTACTTTCCACTGAACGTAAAAGGAACACTCCTCACAGCCATGCACTCATCGTATGAGCCAAGCCACATTAAGGCTCCTTCCAGGATGCCTGCCGGAGGTTTGCCCGCTGCATCAATCACTGTGAACGGTGAATAATCACTGAGATTGATGTTTGAATACTGTTTTATTTTTGAAGATATCTAGAAGCAATGTAAACTGTATCAAGATTCTATAGGCACTTGTAACTTTGCGGATGTGCGGCAGCATTGATCTATGCATGGGGTACCGTGGACTGGGGAGGAGAAAAACTAAAGTAAAACCTTTCCCACAAGCTCCCCCGACATTCCTAGAACTTGAGATATATTGTTTGACCAACTGTAAGTTACATGTATGTTTACATGATCATGTAATACATGTACACATATGCCAATGGTTATTTTTGTATACTATTTACGTGCCTATGCACGCAGCATGTGTACGTGCACACGCACGCACGCCACACATACGTGTACATTGCCTTATTGCACGCACGCACGGTGTACGTGCCACACGCACGCACAACACGTGTACGGTGCCAACGCACGCAACACGTGTACGTTTGCCCACTACGCACGTTCACACGACGCACGCTGTTTACGTCCACGCGTGTACGTGCGCACGAACGCACGCACCACGTGTACAAGCGATACGTGTACGTGAGATCAGCTTTCCTCCAGATGTTGCACCTCTACTTTGCAACTCTGATTGTCAATTCATTTTGGTTTTCCCTTCGTAACTAGACGCCATGTTTAGCAGTGATACCGGACAGTGCACGCGCGCCATCTATCCAGCGATTAGTAAATGCGCACCCCATTAGAAATGCACATGCTATTGCGAAAAAACGGCAGGCCTAGGCTACACGATTACGTCATAGCCAGCTTGACAAGGCCAAGGCGTTAGATGTCAGAGCACTTACCTCACCACAAGGCCTGCCAGAGGATTATTTACGATAGCCGATCAAGCGCCGGGAAACAGGTTTGTAGCTATAAAATGTAGGCGCCAAATTCCTTACTGTGATAATTAAGTGACGGATCCACAGATTCCTCATCACAGGAAGCCGAATTTTATTGTCTGGGAATTAAAATTGTATTTAACTTAAATTTAAATTTTATGATCATGATCAAAGTTAACATGTTTTTATACAATTGAATGTCTTTTACAAAACCTTCTGGCGGGACACCCCTTTGTACCCTGGAGAGGACCCCCTGTCCCCTAGCAGAAGGGGGGGCTCCACCCTCCTACCCCATCCTACCTCCTGCGCAAATGGCACAATGCTCGTCGCTTGCGCCTAGTAAGAGTTCTTCGGCAGGACTAGTAGAATCTTGGAAGGACTAGTAGATTTTTTTTCTACTAGTCCTGGTGGCACTAATGAACTAAAATGTAGTGTCTAACCCTTGCATTGTGTTTTTTTTCATGTCAAATCTGTTCGCAGCAAGGCAGCTGTTATGTCTGAGCTAAACAATTGCCAAGCGACGGGTGGAAAACAGAAAAGATCATTTTGTCGCTTAGACATTTAATGAAAAATCTTGCCCTATTTTCAGCCCCCTGATTTCCTATTATAGTTCGTTTGTGCCGTTTTTGACAACTTGAAAGAGGTGATTCAAGAGTCTCCTATAATGTGTTCAGAATAGCTTAGAATGCACAATTGCACCATTCTTTTTTAAAAAATTACGGCGCGCCGAGCATGCCCGGACCCCCCCTGCATGGCCGATGAAACTCGGTCCCTCGCATTGCTCGCCTCCTCTGTTGCTAATTAAAATTTTCAGTGAAAATTAAATTATCCAATCTAATCCCTGTGATAACAATATGCTTGTAGTGCTGTGCGCATAGTTGCAAGGATTACCGTGCACTCGCTACATCATTATTTTCACAAAAAATATACAAGGATTTGAAATCTGTACATCATGTTGACGCAGATAATGATGATTGCTACTTGGTTTCTGTGACACCCTGCCATTGCACTTTGATATGTGACTTTAAATAAAGCAATCGAACGATTGAGTTACCAGTCTGGAACCATTACGTTAGGCGTAACAAAAAAAATTGTTTGTTTCCGGTACATGAATTTTCAAACTAGGTTAGCAGGCCGGTAAAAATTTATTTTGCTAAAAAAATTTTTAGGACTTCATTTTTGTTTACTTAACGGCCGTCTAGAGGGCCTACTCGCTATTTGATTCCATTTGTAAACATCGCGCGATGTTTCGTACAATTTCCTACTTTTTATAGAGGTGAGTTTAATGGCTGCATGCCGCAATGTGCAGGGTTATGCTTCGCCTAATAAACTCATCTTAAATTTATAATTAAAGAGTCCAATCGATGCATTTGTTGTTTTCATTCTTTAAAGGGGGCAAAATGTTTAGGGTCGGGGCATACTATTTGGTAGCCGGTCGGTCGGGTAACGCGAAACAGACAATTTTATGAGAACATTTTTATTTATGAAATCATTCCTTCGAGTAATACCCGCTTTGAGCATGAGTCCTAAAAAACTTACTGTCTATATGCAATTCACAAAAATTTTGGATAGTTTCCTGTGCAAATATGAATAAAAGTGTGATATGGTGGAACGAAAATTCCACAATTATCTTATGTTGCTGTCGTTTTGTTGTTGGTGCTATTAGTTGAGTTATTAATGAAGTGTTTCTAAATGTCATTGTTCTTTAGGCGGATTAGAGTCTTCATTCGTCGCCATGCCCGATGATGATGTCGAGGATGAGGTAGAAGGCGAGGAATTGATGTCAACATAGACGATGAGGGTCCAGGTGCAGGAACGCTAGAACACGGATGTGTTGTTGCGATAGTTGGTAAGTTTGGAAAAATAATTTCCCAGCAAATTGCATTGCTAAAAAATGAATATAAAAACTGAATAAAATAAAATAATAACATGTACCATGCTGCATTTCGTATCGCTATATAGGTGAAAATCCTTGTTATGTAAATTATATAACAGTGGCTATATGCCTATCTTTATACCACGTCAGGGACATTATAACTAGAAATTAACTATTGCTGCCGGGCCTGCTTACAACACCCAAATTTTTCAGATCATATGAAATTTAAGAAAACTATTCATCTTTGGCCCAGCTGAGATGTGCTTCATTCTGCATTTTGATTAAAAAAATATAGCTAAAGTCAATTATTGAAGCCTTCCTATCAAATAAAACAATCCAAAACTATTGGTTCTTTTTCATTTTCTAACATTGATCTTCAATTGTATATTTATCACATTACTTGCCATATTTTCTAGCTGTAGTTGCATGGTTGCTTGGTTTTCCAGGTGTAGCCATACTAGCATATAAATGAACTGTTTGCCCAGCGAAGAAAGAGAAGAGGAGAAGAAGAAAAGGCATTGCAAGCTTCACCTGATGCCAGACAAAGATAGTTTTCAGCTAAATCTGACAACTACATGGGCGTATGCTTTTTATAGCGTGG